GACAGCATGACAAATTAAATGTCTATTCATAGTCACTCTTTTAATTTGAAAATAAAGGAACAAAATTCTGAATAGGCCACATATGATTCCATCTTTAATTTATTCCAAAATATGAACACATGCTTAATCATTGTTTAGTAGTCATAATATACTTTGTGATAAGATTTTTTTATTGCCGCTGTTTTCTATAAAGCTATATCTTTGTCTTTCATTTTAGTTATCCTAAATTACTGATTTCAAAGAAGGTATATATCCCAAGAAAATTAGATCAGTGATAGAAAATGTTTTAAATGCTTGGGTAGACAAGTTAGTTTTTTGATACAAAAAGTTTTTTGATACACACATTTTCAGAAATAAAATAATGTATTTCATGCTAATTAGCATATTATTATGATCTGTTAATTCAAAAGCTGAACTAAATTGATAATTGCAGCATACTGCAAAAATATAGTCTAATTTGTTTTGTCTGGGTTTCAGTGCATTAAATCTGTTGGGAATTAAGTAAATTTTGGTCCAAGTAGGATTTTCAAGTATTGCTAGCTTGCCATAACGCAAAATTCAAAACAAGAAAATGTATCAACTGCTTCTAAAAAAATAAGAATTTTGACTTTAATAAAGGGTTATTTATTGGTGGGCATGCATAGCTTTAACACAATCCAATGAACCTATATCTGGGACTATAACTCCCCCCCACCATATACATGTGCATGCATCAATATATATTTGTAGAACTATTGTAAAATTCTAGATTATTAAGGAATCATGTACTTAATATGTACACCTATATAAATTGAATTCATGTATATGTACTTACATACAGTATATGCAATCTATATGGAGCATAGTGTAATTATTTATATCTTCCAACCCATACTTTTAATCATATAAAGGAATATCTCTTTTTACCATGATCAAGGAATAGACAATCCATGCACCACCGAGTCTTCATTTCAGAGATAAACCTAACCCTAACTTCCCCCATTGAGTTTTCCTGACAGGGAGCATTGGAAATCCCTTCTTTCCTTCCTTCCTTCCTTCCTTCCTTCCTTCCTTCCTTCCTTCCTTC